GCAAATTAATTTTATAATTTAATAATTAAAAAGAATTTATTAAACTTTGTCTTATTTTAAGTTGTCATGTTTTAATTTACTTGGATATTAAAACAATAAATTTTTTAAAATGTAAAAGAAAATGATATAGAGTATCAAGATGTTTTATGAAAACGGAAGAAATGAATTGAGAAGTTTTCTAAATATTAAAATTATTTATAATTTTAATTTACTCAAGAAATTTTTGATCTGAAAATAATTTATAATCTGAAAAATTAATTTTTTAAGTTATAAATAATAAAAGTTAATAAGGTTATAGAAAATAATTCTTCTAAACATTCACGAGACACTAGATAGGTTGCGGCCGACGTTTTCATCGCGAAAGCGTGTACGTCGGACGTTCAGCACCGTCTTCCTGTAAGCCTAGAAGTTTGACAATGGCATTTGGAACGTTAGGGGAATCATGCTCGACGTATCAAACGCCATTGTCAAACTTCTAGGCTTATAGGAAGGCGGTGCCGAACGTCTGATGTACACGTTTTCGCGATGAAAACGTCGGCCTCAACCTCTCTATTGTTCTCACAACTGTAAGGCTTGCCTGTCGCAGTCTGACACTGTGCAGGAAAATCAAATGGTTTTTCGATTCTACTCCGGTTGTCGGTACAGTTAGCCAAAACTGTTAAATTTTCTCCCACACACTACCAGGAATTACTCAAGGTCAGGCATGCATGGTTAATCTTTTGAGGATTAACTTAACGTGTATGGCCGCCTTCATACTATCATCTTCCGAAATATCGCAGTTCCTCCTGAATCAACCTGTATATAGAAATTATTTAGATCATCGTGAATATTTTGTACTTAGACCTATATAACTTATCGTGGAAAGTAAAAGTACCTATGTAACTCAATAGAAGTCAGTGCGGAAAGCTTAGAAATAACATTATTTGAGAACATTTTTTTCTTTTGTTTGGTGATGATGAAACAGCTGAATGTTGAGGCAGTTAACGCGTCAGTCTACCGCAGTTTTGGGAATCAGGGATCACATCTGGGCGAGCAATTCCAGGAATTTTTCGCGGGTGGTCTATTCAGGATATATAGAGTACCCATTTCTCATCACTCTGCCACCCTCACTGTGGACCTGGGCATGCTAACGATGATTTGAAAAAAGCCTTCCTAATGCCCACAGGGCATAACGATACAGACCCCAAGAAAGTATAACTAGAGGAAAATAATTTAGGATGCCAAATTGTAATGAGGAAACATGGACGAGCTGAAAAAAAATCATAACTCATCGTTCGTTTTTCGGAAGATTTCCGGATAATTTCTCAAAACTAATTAAAATTTTGCCCAGTTCGGAAAATTAGTTGGCAACTGTAAGCCCAACATATTAGGAACGAACCACCCATTAAGGAAGTTGTTTGTCCGGATTCGATTCCGAAGTTTCTGAGCGAATAGGCAAAAGTTTAATATTAATGTTATGTACAGAGTTGTTCAAAAATAACTTCCCCAACTCAAAGAACTTTGGAGCGTGTTCTACTGCTCGAAATGAAACAGTTGGATAACATAAACTTTAGATAATGCACTCGCCATTTATTAAATACAAATGTTTCGTAACAAGATGGTGCTGGAGCTATGCAAATTATTTCCTACGTTTTCAACAATATTCTCCATTCACTAAAAGCATATTTTCCATCACTGAACGCAATAAGCCCTCTTTAATCGCGAGAACATGAGAGCGAATGCTGTCCTTTAGATCTAACAAAGATGCACATCTTTCATGATAGACCTGGTCCTTCAAGAAACCCCGTAACTAGAAGTCACACGGGGTGAGATCAGGTGAGCGAGAAGGCCAAACTATTGGATCACCAGTTCATCGGTGAAAGTCCACCTTAGCACATGTTGAAGAAAGCGAGCAACGTGGGATAATGCACCATTTCGTCGTCTGCAAACAAATTAAAATTAATCAAAGGTTAGTGATAGTAAGAAAATATAGACAATATTTCGGCTAAAGAAAATATACTGTTTCTTTGTATTCATTTTAAGATTTTGAGTTTTATGCGAGTAGTTATGTACTGTACTGACATTTTTTAGTTAAGTAAGAAGTTCTTATTTAGTTTAGCTTATTTTACACTTTAAATATATTTTGTTTGTTAATAGAAAAAAAATTTACTTTTGGAAAATTTTGTTATTTACAAAATGTAATAAAATTCTTAAAACACTGTTTTTTAATGTATTAAAAATCTCAAAAAGTAAATTGTTTTTTTTACATTTGAGAGGTCTGACCGTAATTTTAAACACATTGAATACTAGATGAAAGAACAGAAAAGGGGGAAAAGATAAGTTTTCGACTTAGCACAAAAAAAACTAATTTCCAATGTTGACACGAGATCGAAAAATGAACTTGAGTTGGACATCTCATAAATTATCAGAAATAGGTTTCACGAACGAGATTTCACGAGACACTACGAACTTCTTCATGCTGTCACTCTACCATCCTCTCTGAAAAAGAGGAAGAGAAAGATCCAAACAATAATTCAAACAATACAACAACAGTCTAATATCCCCTAACAATAAACTCCCATAGAAGATATCTTTAGCATAACTCAAAACAGATGTCACTAGAGCGACATAATTGTAAATCTTGTGCATAACATTAATTAGTGCGCTTGTTCCTCTGGCTGATTTTAGCGTAAAAGTGAATAGAATGATGCCGATAATTATTTTTGAAAGCAATTTATAACAATACGAAAATAACTGAACTCATAAGCCACACTTCTGTATGAAAGAGTATAGGTTATATTTTTCTACGAGTAAATATATTAAACAGGAAAGAAAGTTATTTAAATTTTACAATTATTATTTAATTTGATCTTTAATTTTTTCGTAAATTTTGTTAAATAAGGCATATCAGTAGACTATTCAGAAATATCGATTATTAATTATATCATCTATAAGATAGTGTCCACCAGCGGTCGAGTAGTTAGTACTGAACACTGATAGTTGGCAATGCGCGAACCCACTACCAACGAACACTATTAAGCAGGATGCACACATGCGGCGCGGCAAGGAAAAGCGGTGACACAAACGCATCTTCGCCGCGCGGCAGCACAACCACACAAGCGGCAATCCGCTTACATTTCGGCGCATGCGTTCAGTATTCAAGATGGCGAACGATATCCACGTGTTTACACACTGTCCCTATCCACGTGTTTACAAATTTTGTTTTGTATGACTCGCTTTATTTAGCTAAAAGATTTTGTCGAAGATTTGAATTAGAGATACTTTTTTGGATCGAGAAAGAACTGGTGTACAAAATAGACTTATTCGTGGATCAAGATCTCTCGATAAAGAATACTATTTCGAGTAAGATTCGGTTGTTTTGTTCTTTGAATTAAATTATATATGATTATTTGTGTAGAATTTGTTTTAAATTTGTTATCCTTTCCTCTTTATTCTGATTTTAATTATCTCGGTTAACCGCCTCGAACTTTCCGCCATTAAAACACCACGTGATTGTATTTTCTCACGTGACTACGAGACAAACTGTTATTGGCTGATAGAAACGCGTCTTGGCGGCGTTGCCGCAAAAGATAGAATTCAACCAACTTTTGCGGCACGAGAAAAGCGGCACAAAATCGACTTCTGCGGCGAGAAAAAGTGACGTCATTCTGCCGCTTTTCCTTGCCGCGCCGCATGTGTGCATCCGGCTTTAGTTGGTGGTGGGTTCGCTCCTCGCCAACGGGCTGTCCACGTGGCGTTTTCAGGATTTCTTCACGTTTGTAACTTCTAAATAGGGACCACTAATTAGGGATTTCGCATAGAAAGTCCTCCTGGGAGGCATTCTTCTTCAAATGTCGCGTTGACGTAACTAAATGAATCAAACCAATCTATAAAAAGAATAAAATAAATCAGCAAAATAACTTAAAGCATATATCCTATATTTATATAAAAAAATTAGAGATTACTTTTTATTTTTTGAATGAAAATCTTTGCAGAAAAAATTTAAATATATAACCGATTAGATGATTAAAAATAACGGGTCAGGTTAATGAACTATTCGATAAATATTTTTTAAATGTAATTTTATAAATAATTGATATCAATTTACTGATAAAGTCAATCATTAAAACCTGATATATTTATTATAATTTTCCGTATTGTAATTTAAATCATTGCTAATCTTATACAACACAAAAAATTCGATAAAATTTTTTACATGATGTTTCTGTATAATTTCTGATAAAATAATAATTTCTATCCATTAAATATCATTAAACAAGTGTAATTTAAGAATAGGAGAATATTTTGTAACATTCATTTTATCAGATTTCTCTTTATAGAAATTATTTAAATACATCTCTACGTATTCGAGAGAGATGATGAGATGATAACTCCTTTTTAGCATCCCTTTGACATAAATTTAAGAAGGACATTATCATCCTATTACCGCTGTTGAATTGAAAATTTGTAGATTTATATTTTATATTATATATTAATGTATAAATTTTTGAAGAGAACTAAATTGGGAATTGAAACTCAAAGAATTATAAAGTTCATCACAGATTTTTTAATTTTTACTTTTAAAATCCCCATATTTTGCAAATAATTATATGTAGAAATTAGGAAATTGCATGGTTTTCTTCAAAAAAGTATATATGTTTACATAGGAAATAACGTAATTAAATCAAAGTTTATTATTAACACCCATAAAACAAGCCATTAGATTTACATACATAATTTCTAATTATGTTTATTATTTTTTAAGACAGCTAAAATGTTTAATAAGTAGATATAATGATAATTTTTCGAATTTTTCCTTCACAATTATCTATTTATATCATAAAATGTCAATGATATTAATTATACAATAACAAAAATTTCTATTTGAATTTTTTGTCCTATTTAATCGCTGTTATTCTTGAATAAAAACTTATATATAGGCCTTACGTATATACACATGCACATACAGTATATAAATTAAATTTTCGTGTTCTAACGAAGTGTTAATTGTATCTGAAGATATGAAGTCTTGTATAATTTTTGTATCGTTCTTCGCTTGTATATCTTCTCATCCTTATCCTAATGTCCATTATGATTACATTATAGGTAAGAAAAATAAATAATTAATAATAACTTATTTTCTTCTATCTTAAATAACAATATTCTCTAATTTTTCTTACTTATATATACTTTTAGCTTTATATTTACCACGAATCAGGAGGTTGCGAAGTATGATTTTCGACCTCCAAAAATCTATTATATTAAGTTTCATTAAGACTGAATAAAAACTGGAACAATTAACATGTATTAAATATAGGGTGATTTAAAAGTCAGTTTACCATATTTTCTTTTGTGTATTACAATTACTACAAGTTCACTTGTAAAGCTAACTGTTAATTTGAATAAGACAGCAATTCAATATTTATAATGATGAAGTAATGATCTTAAGGCCATTTTGTAGTATAATTCTTTCTGAAGATAAAAACTGTTTGTATTGTGTCAACGAGAATGTGAAATATTAAATGACATAAAAGATTTTTTTTAATGAAAATTTATCTTTTAGTTGGTTCCGGTTCAGCTGGATCACTCTTGACTACTAGACTATCAAAAAATCCTTCCATCAATGTTCTCTTGTTAGAAGCGGGAGAAAAACCCCCTTTAATGTCTTCTATTCCATTTCTTCATCTGAGTGTCTTACATTCAAAAGAGAATTGGAAATTTCCAACAGTACCAAGTAAAAGAATTGCTCAAGCCTTAAAAGGAAGAGTTAAGTTCTTTTGTGTTTCAATTTATGATTTATTGATGAAATTTTATATCTATATATATTTTTTTACCAATTAAAAATTTTATACTTCATTTTAGGCATTCACTTTTGGAGGTGGCAAATATTTGGGTGGAACAGCAATGCTTAATCATGCCTTGTACGTTCGAGGAAATCGAAAAGATTACGATAATTGGGCTAAGAACGGTGCAACTGGATGGGATTGGAAGAATGTTTTTCCTTATTTCCTTAGGAATGAAGACAATCGTAATCCTGAAATAGTTAATAATGGTAATAAAGAATATTAATGTATTATAGATAAGATAATTAAGCATTTTTATAATTTCAAAATAGCATTGCAAATAACGGAACGTGTAAACTAATATTTTTGCTATTTTTTATAAAAAAAAGTTTACGTAAGGGCCTTTGTCAGAACCTTGTTTTTAGTTTACAGTATATTTTGGTTAACCGAATAATAATTAATACGGCCTGCATCTAATATACATCTGTTTGACTGGCCATTTGCTGCATTTGAGTTTGAGATTCCTGCCATAAATAGAGGCTGGTAGACACTCTTCTTTAACAGATCGCACAGTTGTTGCGATACCTTCTCCCGTCAGTCTTACATTTATAGACGGTTATTATTAAATTTTCTCCCATTCAACACTGTTTAAATCAATATATAATTGATGATTTATAGTATAGTTTAGCAGATTTTATTAGAATATGAAAAGGATGATAAAAAAAGGGTTTCCTTTTCAGTTATTTGGGTCAATGTAGCGTTTTATATGTATTCAGCACACGTGAAGAAAGAAAAAACTATTGTTTCTACTCAATTGTAAATTATAATTATTGACAGGGATATTCATTAATTAATATTATAATCTTATCTTCTCTCTAAACGTTTGCTTGCTTTAATTAAAAGGCGTTAAATTAGTTTAAATTAAAGTGCTAGATATATGTATAATAGAAATCTAGATGTATAACATATATGAGAGACATATCACGTTATATAACGCTATTTTTTCTTCTCGTAGCAAAACTTCATACTATTTTTTCTCATCATTGCCGTAGGGGTATGAAAAATCTACCAAGTTTAATTTCAGTCAATTATTTAAAATTTCTATCATCGTTTCTATTCAGTATATAATTACTGTATTTGAATTATTTTTTAGAACATAGAAAAACATTCGTGCAAAATTAATTTTCCTGTATTTATAAAATTGCATTAAAATTAAATTTACATTTATAATTAAATTACTTTTATATTGTATATATACTTAAATGATAATTATTTATTTACATTAATATTTCATTGAAAATATTAATTTTATAATTATAGCAGATTGTTGCTAATCTCTCCTTTCAAAAAAGAATTAAACTTGCAATTACTGTATCCCTATGCATAATTTCACAATAACAAAGTACTGAATAATTCCAAAAAGAATTAGTACAGAAGGGTGGCAGGTCATTTCGTTCATTGCGTTTAGTCCTATATACTCAATAATCCGGCACTCTCCCTAATTCGGCATTCCTTTGTGCAAGGAGTGGCCGGATTAGCAAGTATTATAGTCCGCGCAGCGAAAAATTAGACATGAGTCAGCCTGAACTGTAAGGATATATGTCGGATGGAAGGAGACGTGTGGCTATCCCTTTGATAGTTAAGACATGGAGCTGACCCCTTTAAGCTGTTTTATTTTTTACATTTCTAAAACATTCTTATACTATCTTTATCACAAATAATTTTATTTTATTATTTTTTTTACAAATTTTATTACCTATTCTTAATTCTAACGTTACTCACACGTTAATCACATGTCGTCTTCCATCCCTTTTATCTGACATACACTCTTCCTGCTCGGGCTGACACATGTTTACTGTTTCGCTGCGTGGACTACAGTATTATTTTCCAATGAAAATGTATGTGATGACTATTCGTTTTGTATATATAAATATTTAGACGTGTTAGGATCCAATGCTCCAACAATGCTAGAAGAATCAGAGTTTAATATTTGTCTAATTGTTAGAAATATTTACAGGTTTTCATGGAGTGGGAGGAGAGTTAAAGGTTGAATATCCACCATTTCGATCTCCGATGGTAAAAGGATACATAGGAGCTGCAAATGCTATTGGATATCCCATAGGAGATTTTAATGCAGCAAGCCAAACAGGTGATACTCAAAATAAAGATTATGATTTGCAACCAAGTCGATTTTAAACTCAAAAATATATAAAATTTAAAATAAATACATTTAATTTTAATAATTTATTTTCAGTCTTTATGCCTCCTCAAGGTACAGTTCGTAAGGGGACAAGATGGTCGACTCTACAAGCGTTTATTGAACCTATAGTTGGGAGAAGAAATCTTCGAATTATTACTTCAGCTTACGTCACAAAAGTGCGCAATTATTCCATATATTTCTGTCTTTCTCTATTTTTCTAAGTTTCTATATTTACAGATATTAATCGATGATCATAAGCGAGCATACGGAGTACTGTTCGATCACTGCAATAAAACATTTAGAGCAATTGCAAAGAGAGAAGTAATTATAAGCGCTGGAGCATTTAATTCTCCGAAACTTTTAATGTTATCGGGTATTGGGCCTAAGGAAGTTTTACAAAATTTTCAGGTAAGTAGATTGATTAAATTGTTTTAATAAAAAAATAGTGAAGTAATTGCGTTACTTTACTATCTTTGACTACGTGACATCAAGAACATAAAACAATAAAATAGAAATGCGAATTCGTACATAAACTCGTGTTTAAATAAAGAAAGAATGGATTATAATTATTAATTAAAATCAGTGTAGTATATGTATATATTATCCATCATTGTTTTTGCTCTTTGAAACAAAAACACAACCATATTAGTATATATTCAATTTTTAATAACTTCTATCTACATTAAATATGGAAATGGAAAAAGGAAAGACAATAAAATTTACATTAATAAGAGTATAACAGAATGCTTAACTTTAAAATATACTTTATAATATTTCTAAAATATGATAAACCTATAAGAATTATAATAGGTATCACTTATTTTATTTTGTTTGTATAAAGTACAAATTCGTTAATCTTGTATCTATGCGACCAGAGTGGCTTTGTATTTTCTCAAAGTTGGATAAGTTATTTGCGATCTGAATGTTGCAGACAATACTATCAATTCTTTATCAACGCATGCTGCTGTATGCTCATGATTTGATTACCCATGCTTTTAATCAGTCTGAATATAATATACAACGCATAACTTTACTTTGTTAAGATTAATTGAAAAATTGAAATTACGTTAACAACTATTCTCAACGATTCGTGTGCGTATAATAATAACTTATTTATTTTTCAACATGTACTGTACATATACTATTCACAAAGCTGCTCATGCTAGGAGTACGGAAAACCTGTTTTTTGGGTGTCTGTTCTCTTGCTCTTTGGGATGGAAACTACATCAGACACACACGTTATTGAATACATAATACGCGTGCTAGTTCTAACGAAGTAAGGTTCGTTCAACATAATACAACGTATTTTATGCATAGGACTACAGCTTAGTTTACCGAATTACACTGCGAAGAACTGGCGAGGCCAATTGTTATAAAATGGAGAGGCTGAAATGTTAAACAATGTATTTAACACTTTAGCAATCATTAATTGAATTTGAATTCAATTAATGATTGCTCCGAACGGAAACGAGAATGGGATTCGTATAGTAGACCTATATTAAATAGTACGGAAGCGTGAGGATGTCGAAAATTAGCCTCACGTTTTATATCTCCGCTATCAAAACCACGATTTGCGAGTTTTTTCAGTATATTTGATATGCTCAACTGAAATGTTCAATTTCGTGATAAAGTTTAACATTAGGAAAACTAAGCTTAACTTCAGAAGTCTCTTAGAGCACTTGCCACTGCTGCATAAGATTTTGAAGTTCTCCTAAGTGTTATTGAGCTGATGATGATTAGACCGCGGATTTCTGGTTATTATATCAATACTTTTTATTGGAATAAAGAATTTTACACCCGGACTTCATGAGAAAACATGGCTGACTTGCATGCAGTTCATTATACGAAAAACGTAAACTCTTCTAATAAGTCTTGTCATATTTTTTTATATCACTTCTTCAAGAAGAATAAATAAGATTTGCTTAATGATTACATGATTACAACTTCCGTATACCAATCCTTTCTCGTAGCAAATCAAATCGGACACGTTCAAGCGGTTTCGTCAACAGATCAGCCAACTGGTTCTTTCCGTTGACGTGCTCCAATTTGAGTTCACCATTAAAAACCTTTCAGGTACATAAAAGTGTCAAACCTCGATATGTTTGAACCGCTGATGGAATTCCGGATTCTCTGCTAGCTTTATGTCACTTGCGTTGTCAATACAAAGCGTTGGGAGCTGCTCTGGCATTTCAATCAATCTAGACAATAAACGTTGTAGCCAAATTGATTCTTTTGCTCCTTCATTCGCTGAGATAATCCCTGCTTCAGTTGTAGAGGTTGCCACTACTTATTGTAATTGGCTAGTCCATGATATAGTTTTACCCGAGAATTTTGTGATGATTCCAGTGCGTTCTACTAAACACGAGGCACTTCGTTGAAATATCGGAGATAAATCTAATAGAACCCAAATCCTTTTGGTTATCTTTGCTCTCGATAAATATCCTTAAGTAATCAAATAATCGCACAATACAATTGTAGACGATATAATAGTTATACTTGTACAAAAGGTATTACAAAATGATTAATGAACACATACATAAAATTTCCATCAGACAGAATTCTTTATCAGGGTAACACATTCCTTCATAGACTACGTACAGATCGCTTGGTAGTGAACCTGACAATAAACGGTTGCAAAATTTAAATGCTGTAAAAGTTTCTTATTGATTTATTATACTGAATAATTAGGAGATTTCAGAACTTTGAAATTCGATATCTCCAGAACGGATCTTCGGATAAGAAAACAAAAAGATTCAGAAAAATCAGCAGACCCACCCTTATCTATCGATACCTAATTCATTCAAATCATTCATTCATATATTTCGTGAAGGATTTGAATGAATTAGGTATCGATAGATAAGGGTGGTTCACGAAATCTAGGAGGAATTAAGCCAATAAACTATTTTATATTTGATTTTTTAAATACAGATTCCAGTAGTGTCGGATCTTCCTGTAGGGAATAATTTAATAGATCACGTATCAACTTTAGGACTTATCTTTATCGTCGATACGTTTACTTTCAACGAAAGAAGAATTACGAAAGAAGATTTTCAAGCAATTTTAATCAATGGCACAGGTTATTAAAGTTTAATAGCTTATTTTTGTTATTTAATAATATTCTGTTCAAAATTTATATATTTTAATGGTTTTAAACGTTTGTGTTATTTACGATTATTTAGGACCATTGACACCTTTGGGAGGTATAGAAACAATCGGATTTGTAAATACCAAATATAGTAAAGATTTAGATTGGCCCGATATGGAAATATTTTGGGTAACGAGATCGGCTTCCTCAGATAGCGCCATAAGAAAAACTGCTGGTGCAATCGATAAAGTAAGTTTATAAATTACAGATAAATTTCTTTTCTTCGTTGCAAAAATTTTAAGTTACAAAATATCAGGTGTAATTTATTAATATCAACTACTATTACGAATTAAAAAATATATATATATATATATTTCTATTTTGTAGCTAGAGAAAATCTTTGAGAAATATTCTCATTTAGATACTGTTACATGCGTTCCTAATCCAACACGAATTAAAAGTACAGGAGTGGTTACTCTACAATCTTCTGATCCGTACGAAAATCCTTTGATTGATCCAATGTATTTTTCGCATCCTGACGACCTAAAAATTGCTGTTGAAGGTAAGGTTTCGATACAATCTTTTAATTGTTTACTTATGATTAAAATTGCATCAATTTACAAACATATTTCTTATAATATGTTTGTAACTTACAAACATATTATAAGAAAACAACACTCCCATTCTAAGTTTAAAAACATATTTCTATATGTTTTTAAACTTAAAATGGGAGTGTTGTTATTATTATTTCACAAATGGCAGTATATTGCCATTTGTGAAAAAACAGACTTGACCTCCAAATGACCTTGAAGGTCAACTTCAAGGTCATATATGAGATCACCAATTGATTGGCTCCTCGATACCCTACAAATTTTCTATACCTTTTTCCAAAATAATGAGATCCAATTAAGTTATTTCAATGTCTCAAGATAAAAAATGCACTCTGTATATGTCATCTCTCATCACCTCTATAAATGATTCCATAGGCTGACAAGAATTAATAAAATCTTGCATCTAAACAAAATGATTTTATTTTTTTCTGATGACTGTTTTGTCTGTAATTCAACAATAATCGGCTTAACATGGAAGACACTGACATCCAGAGCTTTTATGAAGCCACCAATGTTGTTGCAGAAAGTCATGTGTTGTCAGTCGCAAAATAGATAACAAAAACAGTTTTTCTCTATTCCTAACTTCAGTAATGTTTGTTCATGGGCGAAGAAAATTGTATTCCAGTAAACTGGAACCCAGCAGTTTAACCCTGGAACCCAGCAGACCTTTTACTTACTAGTTAAGTAAGCGAAAGTCTCTAAACCATGAACTAAACCATTTAGACCTGCATGAATTATGAATTGTCTGACTAGATCACTTGTGCCCTGATACAAAGTCTTTTTTTCAAGAGATAATGGCAATTCTTCATTACTACTTTCTTCACTCTCACTGTCAATATCATTTATTGATCTTGATCTATATAATTTAATTTGTCGCATGAAGCCATTGTTGTCTAGTTGCGACTACTGAAGTGGTATGACACCTTTCGTATTAAGCGAAACTTGGGTTCAGAATACTTTTGACACGATGTTGTGTTAGTCTATTTATTCTTTTCAGTTAAAGTACACGACAGAAATTTCAGTTTCTATTAATAACCGTTAACTCTGAGGATCTGAGCCGTATTCCTGCTACATCTTCTCGGCCCGTTGTGGTCACGATTATTATTTATCTCTGATTATAGCAGCAATGTGTTGTTATTCCCATTTCAATAAACAATGTTTAAAAGTTGTAAATATGGATGCCACTTGGAGAATTTATCAAATTTTTTTTCTCTATTTCGAATTATTTTCTCACCTCTCTAATTACATTATTTCTTATGTTATCTTTTAGCTAAACACAAAATTTTCAGTTAATTAACTCTTTGCTTTTATTTTAATTTTTACGAAAAGAGTTCCACTTTTTAAATATTTATAGTAAATTCATTATATAATAATTATACGATTTTTATAATATAATTAATTTTCATAGGTTTAAAAATCTGTTTACAAATGGCATCAACTAAGCCCATGAAAAAACGGGGAGTTCGTCCTCTACCATATATCATGCCAGGGTGCGAGAAATATAAAGTGTTTAGTGATGACTACTTGCGATGCATGCTTAAGGCATTCCCACTTCCAGGGCACCATTTCTCAGGAACGTGCAAAATGGGGCATCCTAATGATCCTACTACGGTTTTGGATGCTACACTCAAGTGAGTATCTATTAGATTTTTAATGTTTACACAATAAATATAAATAATAATAATAATATATTTATGGTAATCAACAGAGTGAAAGGAGTTCAAAACTTGAGAGTGGTCGATGCGTCTGTTATTCCAATTATGATAGGAGGCCATACGAATATTCCAACCATGATGATCGCAGAAAAGGCCGCTGATTTTATACTACACGATTATTTCAGTAAAGCCAAATAATCTTAGTTTGATTTAAATACAAAAAATATATAAGATATGCTATGTCTGCAAAATCTATTTCTTGTTTTTAAGATATTATGATAATCTATGATCAGGGACGCCCAGAGGGGATAACATGACCCAAGGGGTTACATGAGGGTTACAGAGGGGGGTTACATGACCCAAGCTAGAGGCCGCGTAAATTAGCATTGGTTGTATTGCTCCGTTTATATACAAGCTTTATGATTTAGTCTCAAGGTGCACCTAGCACATTTTAGCAGCCTATAGTTTATTTTATTGATCTTATCCAAGATGTAATTAATATGGCAACGAAATGTGGTTTCTATTCTCTCTTGTTTTATTTTGTATGACGTTTCTGTTTACACGTGCACTAGCTTGTCGATCTGTCAAAGTCTTTTGCGTCCTTTTATGAAAATTAAAATTAATATAAAAATGAATATTATGACGTTGATTAATGATGATAATAATAATAATAAATAAAAGATTGTTAATAATTAAAAAATAAAGTTCTTAAAATAAATTGTTCATTCGAATTCATTAAATTTTTATATTTTTAAATTTATTCACATAAAGTCTTTTATAAATAATAGTACAGTACATATTAATTAACTAATTAATAATTATATATTTTAGACATAAGGTTTTTAGGGTTTCATAAAAAAATTTTTTTTTGTTAAAATCTTTCTATAAAATCATGCCTAAATATTACGTAAGAATAGGGAAGAGAAGGGGAGGGGGATCAAAGAAAATATTACGGTTTCTTACACAGGGGTGGGTGGCAGTGGAGTAGCGTGGGTGTCAGCCGCCCGGGGCGGAGGAAAATTTCGCCCCCCCTTATTTAGGTATATCAATTTAAAAGATTAAAATTACGTCACAGAATAAGTAATGAAAAATTCCGTGCTAGTGTTGCCACCTTTTTAAAATCGCTGACCTGGACGGCAGGTGAGGTTTGTTTGAACAGAACAAACCTCCTGACACATGCGTATGTCATTTTGCAATGCGAAGAATAATGTGCAGTGCATGCTGGTTCTAAATTAGTTACAGTTAGCGACTAGGAAGACTTGGATACGAGTAACGCAAGTGACCTAGCTCTATTGGATTTTGGAGGTGTATATGAATACGAATGATTCGTACAAGCAAAAAGAAAAAAAAAAGAAAAGGTCGACAGGATGCGCACGATATTCCCGGACGTCGCGCCGTCCGGGAATATCGTGCGAATCGACTCGCCGCGGCGAGTCGATTCTCGGACTATCCGCATGGTAACACTATTCCATGCTCATTTCAATCTGTCTGAATTGTAGGTGGACGGAAATATGAAATAAAATGGTTCAAATTCTTACAAGATATTATTATTTATTGTGAAATTTTGCCACCCCCTAAAACGTAATTTTTCCGGCCCCTAAAAGGTGCCGCCCGGGGCGGGCCGCTACTGGTGGGTGGGGTCTAGATGGCCAAAATCGCCCTTACATAATTTATGGACGGCCCTTAAGTAGGATTAGATTCTCATAGAAAATTCCAGAGAGACATCCCCTTAACGGATCGCGATACTATATTCTGTGAATTCAATCTAATCCATTTTAAAATTTCTCTTATAAAAAAAAAAGTATAAATATAGTTTTGAAATTTAAAATAAATTTTCTTTTCATTCATTAATTAATTGCAGAGTGACGTCTGATTATATTTTTCGAGTGTTACACGAGGAGTTGAATTGAAAACTATAATAATTCCAAACTTTTTATCAGGATAGTAAATCTCTATCAAACGCATTCAGAGATAAAATAATTGATTTAAAGATAATTTAATCTGTTAAAAAAATAACAAAAAATAGCTTAAGTAAGGAAATTTTTATCATTTATTTTAATAGGTTAGAAAAAATCATACAATTCGAGTAATAGCTGTATTATTTAAGACATTATAAACAGTTTTATTTAAGAAATTCCCGAAACATATGATTATTAAATGTACATTTATTTTTCTATATATGAAATCAATAACAATTATCAAAGTTTTCTACAGAAATTAATGTAAAAATAAATTGGTAAGTCTCCTGTATTTCAAAACTGTTTATCAAACTAACATAATATGAATTTTTAAAATTATACTTGTATTTTTCAAAATAGATTTTTAACTTATTTTCTATTTTTTCGCTTATTATAATCCATTATTAAATTCTATATTAACAATACCTTAAGTTGCATTTAACATTCGCTTATAAGTAAATTAAAATCATGAACATCCAGTGTATTTCTGTTTATTTTCTACAACTTCTTTTACAATACAGTATTACATTCAAATAGAATAATACACTTTATAATAAATTCTAAAACAACAGCGAAAAGTTTATCTTTAATAATTATAGACTTCATGACAAACATGCAATGCTGTCAATGGCCAATATTAGGAAATACTTTAGGAAAAGAAACTAATATTTGAATTTATTCACTGTTTTCGGATTAATATAATTTCATATTATAAAATCCCTCATTAATTCCTTATAAATACATCGTCCACGTGCAGAATCATAAAATACGTATTCAACAAGTGAAATAACCTCACCTCTAACTATCGTTTAATTTGTAGGTCGTCAGTCTTATTTAATTTAGGTCATATATCAATCAATTTTAATCGATTTTTTACTCTGTAATTAATAGTAATTTCAACTTTTTCAATGGTACAATTAAAAAATCATTTTTGAAAGTGAATTTATTATCGCATCATCAACAGTTCTTTAAATATAACACAATTTAAAAAAATAAGAAAATATTTAATCATAATATCTTCAAAAAAGTATTAAATTTATATTTCTAGATTCCTATTAATTTAACTTTTCGTCTACTATTTTTATGTTATGCTATTTCGGTTATAATTTGAGGGAAATAAGTGACATACGTCAAAGCATAAGGACAAATTCCTGTAATTACAATTATGTGTAAACAATAGCAAAAGTAGGAGAAAATACTAAAGATAACTTTTATATAATTCTAATTAAACTTTTACTCAAACTTTATTAACATTATTATTTTTAATAGAAATAAGTATCTTTAAATAAAAAATAATCTAATGCCAAATTTTAAATATTCAAATAAATTGTATGGAGCTATTGTTATTTGATTATTTTAATTTCAGAAATGATTTTAAGCAATTAAATTTTGTAATAAATCGATTAGTTTTTTTGCCATTCTGTGATTTTTGCGAGTTAAAATTTTTAGCCAATGCGTGTGTGGCATATGAAAATAATTGTACTATGGGAGGGGGACTAGGAGTCGAATCTGGATGGTCGAGAATTCCCAGGAATTTTTAGGGTAGTCTGTTCTCTCATTCCGTCTAATTTGGGCCTGGAAACCCACGATTGGTATGGAAAAAGAACCTCTTAGTACCCACAAGGAGAAGAGATTTTAAAAGAATAGACATCTACTAGACGTCCCTTCAATAAATAGTAATGAGATATGTTTATAAATACATGTATCATTAGAAATGAATTAGTCTGAGGTCTATATCCTGAAAAATGAAACCAGGCAGATCTTAATCCAGGCACTCACCTTCACTCCTGTATTTTTGTAAAAGAATTTTATTTTTTGAATTGTTAGCATTTTGTAGCGATCATAAGAGACTTTGTTCGGGTATTTCTATCAAACCAACATTCTTGACAAAAAATTTATAGATGACGTTTGATTTCTAAGAACAACAACTATCGTTGAAAATAATACACGCCACTTGATTTAAACAATGGCTTCCTAAGTAGAAATCTCAGGTTGGGATTGAAATCGACTTCGACCGTTCTCGTCATACAAAAGAAATTTCAGGAGACAAGTGAGGGATCAATCAGATTGAGATTGAAATTATTCGAGATGTCGGATCGAATGAACCAACCCTTTAAAGACACGCCTCAAGAGCACGAAATTCCCGTCCAGTTCTCGTTCAGTTCGGTTCAGTGAGCCGAGCCAATCGATTGTCAATTGGCAGTACAATGTGTATACTTATCAGAAGACTCTTTCTGTATACACTCTCCCGAACTTTACAGAAACTTGATTTGACAAGTCTCTAGCTCAAACTAAGCCGCCTCTGGAATAATCGAAGACAAAGAATTTTTAGCAACTCGGAAATATTACAACATCGTTTATTTGAAACGTCCATACAGTTCAAATGCAGTAAATATAATTGAATTTTTCTTTCTCTATCTCTATAATAAACAGGATTGAAACTTTGAAACGATTCATGTCTCATCACAGATCAGTTGCACCCACTTATGTATCATATTATTCTCGAGTCGTCTCCATCATGATTTTATTTTATGTTTACCATTAAACACCTATTTATCACGTTTCTATTCTTTAAATTTAAATAAAAATTTAATGATATTTTAATCTTACATTTGGTAATTAATTATGATCAATACATTATATTTTTACATGTATTTTACATTACTCAATCCGGTAAATTGTACTATATCTTATGTTTAGACTGCGCTTTATACAAAATTAAAAAATTACATTTAAAAATATTTAAAAAAAGGATACATATACGACTATTTTAACATTTATTTAAATTATTAATTTAATAAAATATATATTTACCTATAATATAATCATATTTTTTTACGTATTACGCTTTAACTGAAAGGAGAAAGATCGTGAATATCGTCGTAATGCGTTTCATTATGTAGGCCTATACTGTATATTATGAATGTCAAGTTTCTTTACCAGCGGTGTAGGCTATATATAGGCAGTAGGAATGTAGAGCACAGAGAGTTTTTCGAGCACAGAATCGATAAATGAATTTGATTACACACTTATTCCTTTCTAGATATATAGTTAGATATTCCATAACGTTATATGTAAAAAAATGAATTCGGTCCTCTTTCCTTTTAACATTTTTTGTGTATTTACTGAAAATGCTTTTAAAGGAAACGGTTTTAAAAATTAAAAAACAACTTAGAAATGTTTAATATTAAAATTGAACTAGCAGCAAAAAATAACAACAACAAAGATTAAGATTATTAGATTACTTCGTACTTCTAACATTTCTATTATATTATGTTATAGTATTTGATTTATATAACTACAAAGGTTTTCTTACGTAAGGATTTATCAAACTAACAAATTTTAAAAATTCTTTAAATTGTATACAGTAGAGAAATAAAGAATTTTAAAAATAAGACGTAAACCATAGTTCTTGTAGTATTAATTCAGTTAAACAAGCTCCAGTAGTTAGTTTCACAGGCAAAAACGTGCTAAAATATTTGTTGAAAAATATTCAAAACCTTCCTAGTATAACAAGGCATTCGCTTGATTCTGTTGATATCCAAAGTACAATCTAAATTATACTATAATACAAAATCGCCGCGAGTAACCACTAAATACGTCTGGAAGCGAAGAATTGCTCGGAGGACCGGGTTCAAATTTCGCTCCGAGCTAGTTTTTTTTCAGACGGTTTTAAATTATTATTATAATTATTAATTTAGATAAGAGATGGCGTCTAATATCTATTTCTAATATCAAATTACTTAATATCTAATTATTAATAATAGCGAAATAATAGCCTGATTAATTACGGCAATCGTTTGATTTTGACGTATTTACGTTAAAAAATTATCGAAGAAGATTGGAAATAATCCAGCGACGTGTTACTTAACTTTCCCGATAACACCTAAAACTGCGTGTGGCGTCATCTGTTATGATATTTTATTTTAAAAACTTTTTATATTATTAATTAAATATTATAAAATGGCAAAAGCCATAGTTTTGAAGGTAGGAATGAGTTATACAAAAAATTGCAAATAGTAATAACGAGTAAAATCGTTATTCAGTCCTATCCTACTTGACATATGAGATGACACAAGACCTCCCTGTATCTTCCCTCGACCTTTAACCACGAAAATTTAATAGAATCAATCCCCTAATGCACAAACCTTTACGCAATATTTCAGAAATTTTCGAAAAACGTACAGGAGTTATTTAGCTTAAAAGAAACTGAATAAAATCGAGCCCCCTACACACACATACAGGAAAAAAACCGAAATTTTTTTGCATTTCTCGACGTTTCAAGGTTTTCTCAGTCCAAAAATGTAAAAATTTTGAGGGGTCATTTTTTGACCGATCGCCATACTTTCCCTCTGGTTTAACTTATATAACAAAGCCGAAAAAATAAAAACGATGATTTGGAAGCATGTACAAATTATGGGTTCGAATCTAGGTTGATCCATTTTTAATTTTATTAAACATTTTTGTATATTTACATTTCTAAATTTACGAAGGAAATAACTACTTTCTGTATTCATATTGATGATTTCTTTTATAATCATCTAGAATGTAATCCGAGACTTTATCAGCAATCATCATGACGGGCGCCATGGTGTGGCATCCTATATTGTTTGGAATAACCGAAGCATCCACTACTCTTAATCCTTTTACGTTCTTAACTCTATTAAGAATAAATTATTATTATTAATATTTAAAAATAAGATTTAGATAAGCAGTGTAAACATATTAATCAATTTACTTAAGTTTTGGATCAACTACTGTAGTTGGGTCAGTAGGATGACCCATTTTGCACGTTCCAACAAAATGATGAGCAGCAAAAGGAAAAGTAATGGCCATACATTCTAAATATTCGTCACTAAGCCATTCATATTTTTCACATCCAGGTATAGTGTAAGGAAGAGGACGAGCTCCGAATCGTTGCATTGGTTCTGTCGATGTCAATTTTAAACAGTACTTCATTCCTTAAACAAAATTCAAAATTTATTGTTATATATACACACACAAAATTCTAAAATATTACACAAGTTTTACCTTCTATAAGAATTTTTATATCATACGGGTGAGAAAAGTAATTAAGATCAATTAACGGTTTCTCGTATGGATCTGTGGAATTTAGTATCAGAGTCCCTCGACTTTTTGCACGTGTAACAAATGGAATACAGGTGATAACATCCGAATCTTTAAACTTATCTAAGGCATGTTGTAACTAAAAATAGACATTTTTATTGAATTACTGTAATAGTAATGATGTTATTATTTGAAAAGTTTACAAATTTTATAATTTTAGTTTTTATACTTCCCATATAAAAATGTTAATAATAAATAAAGATTATATACATAGCGTATACCTCTTCATTTGGTCCGAGAAGTGTTCTTAGAGCTGTTCCAGTAGTTATAGATCCTGACACTAAAAATATCTCAATATCAGGTCTATCAAATTGTTCGTTATATTTAGAATTTATAAATCCAATTGCATCAACGCCGCCAGAAGATGTTAGTGGTCCTGAAGTAGTTTAATTTTTTAGCACTCATTAGTAATATTTAGGGGAGACCGGGGCAAGATCGGCATGTTAAGCTTTACTTAAATTTTGTGTAATAAATACTGCTGTAAACTGAAAAAAAAGCTTTGCATATTGTCTATTGGAATGTTTTCTTANAAATGATAAGCAGCAAAAGGAAAAGTAATGGCCATACATTCTAAATATTCGTCACTAAGCCATTCATATTTTTCACATCCAGGTATAGTGTAAGGAAGAGGACGAGTTCCGAATCGCCGCATTGGTTCTGTCGATGTCAATTTTAAACAGTACTTCATTCCTTAAACAAAATTCAAAATTTATTGTTATACATGTATATATACGCATACACACAACATTCTAAAATATTACACAAGTTTTACCTTCTATAAGAATTTTTATATCATACGGGTGAGAAAAGTAATTAAGATCAATTAACGGTTTCTCGTATGGATCTGTGGAATTTAGTATCAGAGTCCCTCGACTTTTTGCACGTGTAACAAATGGAATACAGGTGATAACATCCGAATCTTTAAACTTATCTAAGGCATGTTGTAACTAAAAATAGACATTTTTATTGAATTACTGTAATAGTAATGATGTTATTATTTGAAAAGTTTACAAATTTTATAATTTTAGTTTTTATACTTCCCATATAAAAATGTTAATAATAAATAAAGATTATATACATAGCGTATACCTCTTCATTTGGTCCGAGAAGTGTTCTTAGAGCTGTTCCAGTAGTTATAGATCCTGACACTAAAAATATCTCAATATCAGGTCTATCAAATTGTTCGTTATATTTAGAATTTATAAATCCAATTGCATCAACGCCGCCAGAAGATGTTAGTGGTCCTGAAGTAGTTTAATTTTTTAGCACTCATTAGTAATATTTAGGGGAGACCGGGGCAAGATCGGCATGTTAAGCTTTACTTAAATTTTGTGTAATAAATACTGCTGTAAACTGAAAAAAAAGCTTTGCATATTGTCTATTGGAATGTTACCTTACTATAGAACTGGTTAAAATCAGTTTGGAAATAAAAATAATTAAAATAATTACAACTTTACAAGAAGAGAGAAATTGACGAAGTTGCCCCGGGTATAGGGGCAAGATCGGCAACTTCTCTCTTTTTGTAAAGTTGTAATTATTTTAATTATTTTTATTAAAGTTGCCCCTGGTATAGGGGCAACAGTAATGGGGCAAGATAGGCACGTATATAAAATTATGTTATTAACAATGTATAAGTTGGAATTCACTATTAAAACAAAGAAATACAAATCCAACACCCATTTAATATTATTACAACGAAATGCAAGTTCAAAGACATATATACATGAATAACAAATGCAAACATGTTTTCATTTATCATCTGTTTGATTTTTATCCTTTGCTTCTAATGTGGCTTTATGTTGCCGATCTTACCCCGCTAGTCATGATTTCGAAACATTAAGTACAACCCTGAGAACAGAATGCCAAGCCACGATCTGGCCACGTGAATAAGTTGAAGTTACATCCTTCTAACAGGAAAAGTAACTTTCGTTATCATGGAATTATAACAAAACCTGCCAATTCAATATAAATGGAAAAAAAATATTATATGGAATTGAACGAAAATGAAAATTTGCTTGATAATTCAACTACGCTTGTTGGAGAACAATAAAAACACTACACTCAACAAGCCACCAATAAAACTCAACTGCCTAATCTATAACCAAAGTCTCCTTTTAATTTGTTTTTAAAAAAAAGCGTTTGACAAACTTGCCCCGCATGCCGAAGTTGCCCCGGTCTCCCCTAAATTTCTGTTATCGTACAATTTAGAGGGGAAATGTTTACATTACCTTTTCCATTAAGTAAAGCATCTTCATAAAACTCTTTCGTAATTCTGTGATCCGCAAATGTGAAAGTATTCACTTGAAACTGTAATCCAGTCGTAGAAGCGTGATCATGCAAGTTTCTTCCCACTGGCAGATCTGCTTTGATAGGTATCTACAATGTAAAAAATATATAAAAAGAGTTAAATCAAATTTATAAAGATAGTGACGAGCAGCAGACGATACTAATAACTTATACATAATTATACTACAAACACAACTTTTATAAATATGAATAGACAGCTTAAAATATTGTTTTATTCAAGTGTAATTCATAAACGTTTACGTCAACTTGTAAGTTTTATCATCAATCTTACATGTTGTTAATACTTTTATACTAAAATTTTAGTTTATAGTATAAATTAAACGAACGTGTAAACTTTGTAAAATTTCATTCGGCCCAATTCCTGATAGCATTAAAAGTTTGGGTGAACCAAATGTTCCCGCAGATATTATCACTTCATGATTAGCCATGGCAGTGCATTGATGTCCTCTATGTTCATACAAAACTCCATACGCACAATTGTTTTCATCGATCAGTATCTAAATTATATAAATTACAATTAAATAATATTATAAAACAATATTTACATTTTATTTTAGAAATTCTTTTATACTTTAGTTACAAATGCTGATGTAATAATACGAAGATTTCTTCTACCGATTGAAGGTTTAATAAATGCTTGGAAAGTACTCCATCTTCTGCCTTTACAATTTGGAGTTTGAGGTACCGAAAAAACTGAAAGAAAAAATTTTTTTTGATACATTTGAACAATAAAACAAATGTTAAATATTTGTTTAATTTGCTAATATTCATGATTAACATTAGTAATTAAATAACTATGAAATTACTACTTGTTACTTTGTAAAATTTTTCTACGCGAAAAACTGAGATAATTTAGCAATGCAATTTATTGAACAATTTTTAAAAATCCAGAATAAAACATATTTTAAAAAATTGAAGACTAAATACAGATAAAAATTTGAAATGTAAAGACTGAAATTTTATTTCTATTTTGTCTTCGATTTTTCAATGCAATTCATGTTAATCATATATAAAAACAAATTGCTAACAAATAAAAATATTAATAAATTGTCAAAAATAAAACTTTATTATCAAGCAGTGGAGTGATGGAATAACACATTTGTGCAATCTGTCAGAGTGGAGAATGAAGTACTCATTCCCCACTCTGAAAAGACTTTCAATAGAAAACTGGCCCTTATTTAGATGTTAGACACGTTAAGAATAAATAGAAGGCACCATCCCGCTACCAGTTTTCAATGGTTTTATTCACTCGTCTACTGACGGTATTATTTCCGAGGAGGTTTTTGAGGACATACATTTTCTCAGCGGTATAAACTCACAATATGTGATCTGAATGTTAATGTATATAAACTCGCTATTTATTATGCAATGTATATATGAAATTGTATATAAAGTTTCGTTATTTCTTAGAAAGAATGATGATAAAGTCGAATTTTTGATAAAGGACAATAAAACTGTTTATAGTTATTTTTTAAATCAAGCAATTTATATCTCGTTTATTTTTAACGTTTTAATCTGGAAAACAGTGTTAAATTATAAAACACTGATTAATGAAGTTATAGAAATATTGTCGGTACTCTCGATGCAAACCAATTTGACCCACTAGAGGGACCTTCCCAATAACCCAATAAAACTTTTTATGACCCTTTGTCTTCACTTGTTCCTTTGTTCGGACTACTATCTGTCGACACATACGGACGTTCGTCCTACTGTTATATAAAGACTCATTTGTACATTAATTACTTGATTAAACGAAGATACCTTGATCAGTACAATGTGTTTCGTCTGAGTGTCTCTCCGCTGATTCCGGATTAACGACAGGTTATGGGCCCAGACACTAACACTACAAGGAAACTGAACTGAACAACCAGATCTTGGTTCAACTTGTTCTACATTTTGGATCGTATCTTTTGCCTTTTATTATTTGGTCTATCGATCCTCGCATCCGTAATGATGAATTCATTTAAAGTCGAGTTATTAAATCGAGAAAATTACGATACTTGGAGTTTCCAAGCTGAAGCTTTACTCGAAAGAGATGGCGTGTGAGAATACACTAACGGAGCGGTACCTTGTCCCACCATAATCCCCAGTAATCCCGAGTCTCGATTGGAACACGACGCCTGGACAAAAAATGACCGCAAAGCAAGATCAAGTCGGATATTAATGTTAAGTCCGCCCGAGCTAAAACATATACGAAACTGCAGTACATCGAAAGAAATTTGGAACAAACTCAAATCGATTTACCAGTCTCAAGGACCAGCGAAAAAGGCCTCCTTAATAAAGACCTTCACGATTTGCACGATCACATTGCCAAATTCCTGGACACTGCTGACAAGCTAGCCGATTTGGGAATTATAGTGAACGAGGAACTTCTCTCAGTGTTGTTGCTATACAGCTTACCCAACAGTTTCAACATCTTTCGCACTGCAATCGAAACGAGAGACCTTCCGAAGCTCGAAACCCTAAAAGTCAAGATCTTTCAGGAATATGAAGGACGATCTTCTCGCGAATCGCAAAATAATGATGCGCTTACCGTCCGTTATTAAGGATCGAAACTGCGATGTAATTTTGCAAAAAACCTGGCCACAGAGAATGGGATGGTCGTAAAAAGAAGAGACAAGAAAATCAACCGAGATCCAGCAAGCTCGACAGCGGAACCTCTTTCACACGTGAGTCTACTTTTCACACTGGAATGCCATGTGATGCTTGGTGTCTCGACAGCGGGGCCATATCGCACATGTGTTCTGACCAAAGAAAATTTTCAGACTTGCGAACTACTTCTAACACAAAATTGGATCTCGCTAATGTGAGGGTCGTAAAAGCGCGTCGAAATTACGACTAATTACAAACTTTTACGTCGGAGTTTCGAAGATAGAATCGGGTCAAGAGGGTGTGTTAATGACAGAACCCAGATGGGATGAAAACTTTTTCGAATTGTAAAACAAACGCGACGCGATGATAAACAACAGGGGGGAATGTCGACAGAGAGAAAGCTTTGTTGAGATGCTCGCGAACAAGCGTCGGTTCGAAGCAATCGAGAAAAAGGAGGATCTAAGAACAAAAGGGACGTCTGTTAAGTCCGAACGCGGTAGGGGTTAAATGGCCACAAGAACATCTGGTGGACCGTTTAAGTTCAAAGATGTCCGGGAGAAGGGCCATAACGAAGAAAAATACGAGCGCAAACATTAAAAGCCCCGTCATCACCTCTCCGACCTTTTCCCGACCCGGATCGGTCTCAAGTTTCGCCTAGAAACAAAGGAATGACCAATCGGGGTAAGAGAGAGGGCGAACGGGCCAATCAAAAGGGTGAGATTCGGGGAAGATCTTATAAAACCCTCGAATCTCAAGGACAAAAGAGAGATTCTCAGCCGATTCTCTCCGAAGAGGAATTCCCAGCCGATTCTCCGCAGTTCTCCACTTGGACAAGGTTCTCCACCAGTGATCAAAATCTCCGTGCATCCGCAACATCACCGGACAGAGGCACCTGTGCAACGGACACTCTCCTGTCAAGCCTGGGACCTCAGTCAGCGCCCGTTCGTCGACATCAAGAAGCTCCCACCAAAGCCGCTCGCATGTCGATCTAGATCGCATTGTTATTGTCATTATGTAAGTTAACCTTATGTCAAAATAAACAGTTTTCGTGTAGGACACTTGTCATCTTTGTCTCCTACCGCCACCACCCACTTACGGTTTGGCCCTAGGTTTTCCTGACGCGCAATTAACGTATTGCTCCCTAAAGTCGGCGACCTTACACTAATGATCAAACCATATCCATCGATGCAGTTGGCACGGCCCAAATTCACGTTGATACTGGCACACAGGAACGATCGTTTGACCTGCTAAACACTCTCCATGTGCCATCGCTTCGCACAAACCTCTTATCGGTCTCCAAAATAACCGACAAAGACTATATGATAATATTTGATAAGTTCAAAGCACGAGTCATCGACTCAAAGGGAACAACAGCCACAGTAGCGGACCGCGTTGGCAATCTCTACTACATACTACCTCGAAACGATCGAATCCACATTTTCCAAGAAAAATCTCCAATCAGTGGATTACGAACCTGGCACGAAAGATTCGGTCATCTTCACGCTAACGCACTGAGAAAATTGTTGGATCGAAGAGGGGTCACTGGCCTAAAATTCGACAAGGAAGATATGCTTGATACGTGCGAGACATGCATTGCGAGAAATATATCATGCCTGCCTTTTTCCCATCCCCTTGTCAAACAGACAAGCCGACCACTCGAAATCATTCACACGGATATATGCGGACCTATGCGGAAGAGATCTCTTGGAGGATCACTTTATTTTGTTACATTTATTGATGATTATACTCGATGGACTGAGGTACGTTTTCTAAAGACCAAGGACGAACTATTTGAGACGCTAAAAGACGTCATAGCCTACCTAGAGAATCAGACTAGACTAAAAATCAAAGCCATCCAGAACGACAATGGAGGCGAATACTGCAGCAAGGAAATGAGTACCTTCCTCAGACGACAGGGAATCACACATCGAACATCAACTGCGAGGACCCCACAACAAAATGGAGTCGCCGAGCGCAAAAATCGAACACTAGTAGAGATGGCACGATGCATCTCTACTAGTCCATGCACACACTCCTACCACCTATTGGGCTGAAGCCATATTTACAGCCAATTATATTCGAAACCGATTCCCGTCACAAAGCATAGATGGCAAGACTCCATACGAACTATTCAAAAGAAAAATTCCTGATGTCAGCCATTTTCACACCTTCGGAACAAAAAGCCTTCATTCTAAACAAAAATCCCAGTAAATGTAAATTCGATCCACGTGCTCAATCTTGCATATTTGTAGGTTACTCCGAAACCTCAAAAGCATATCGTGTTATCCTCGATGGTGAAAAGAGCGTAACCACCTCTCGAGATGTCAAGTTCATTGAAAAAATTTCAAACACCGATTCTTTTGAAGACTTCATCAACCACTCGACTGTATAAAACAACTCTCTCACCACTACGAATCGACTTGACTCAATAGAGGTAACTACTCGGCAAACTAAAGTCAACAACACAAAAACTGACGTCCCACATCAACCTGCCAACATCCACACGCAAACGGCAGAAGTCCCTGAAACACAGGAAGATCAACCATCCATGAGAAGAGGGCCG